TGCTGCAGCAAGGGAGACCACATCCCATACCAATTGCGGGGATGTCATCTAGGATGATCAACTTGCTCCAGTCTGCCTGGGACTTTCCTGGGTTTTGCACTGAGTCCTCCTTGTCCCAGTCGACCCCTCAGTCAACAGGATCACTGATCATCGTAGTGTCACCAAAAAAGGGGAAAAACTGGGATTACTGTAGGATTTAGGAGTGGATCACTATGGGATACAGAAGTGGAGTTTAGGTAAAGTTTAAATGAAGCATTGGGCCTTTTGGGTTTTATTTTTATTTATTTTTTTTAGAGACAGGGTCTCTCTCTGTTGCCCAGGCTGGAGTGCAGTAGTGTAATAGCTCACTGCAGCCTCTAACTCCTGGGTTCAGGCGATCCTCCTGCCTCAGCCTCTGGAGTACAGGCATAAACCAGGCTCGTTATTTATTTTATTTTATTTTTTTTGAGACAGACTCTCATTGTGTTGCCCAGGCTAGAGTGCCATGGCATCAGCCTAGCTCACAGCAACCTCAAACTCCTGGGCTCAAGGGATCCTTCTGCCTCAGCCTCCCAAGTAGCTGGGACTACAGGCATGTGTCACTATGCCTGGCTAACTTTTTCTATATATTTTAGTTGGCCAATGAATTTCTTTCTATTTTTTAGTGGAGACGGGGTCTCACTCTTGGGCAGGCTGGTCTCAAACTCCTGAGCTCAAATGATCCTCCTGCCTCAGACTCCAAGAGTGCTAGGATTACTGGCGTGAGCCACTGCACTCGGCCTGAGCTAGTTTTTGTAGAGGCTGGGTCTCACTATGTTTCCCAGGCTGGTCTTGAACTCCTGGACTCAAGCAATCCTCCCAATCCAGCCTCCCAAATAGCTGGGATTACAGGCATGACCACCATGCCCAGCCTGAAGTAGTATTTTGATAAGCCCAAAGCAAAGTAGGTTGGTATGTGAAAGGGTCAGCATCAGGTCCAGACTGTGCAGTGGATCCAGGGTCCTTTCTCTTTAGAAACAGGAAAGTAAAGATAGATGTGAAGTGTTGGCTCCAGATGTTTTTTTTTTTTTTTTTTTTTGAGACAGAGTCTCACTTTGTTGCCCAGGCTAGAGTGAGTGCCATGGCGTCAGCCTAGCTCACAGCAACCTCAAACTCCTGGGCTCAAGCAATCCTCCTGCCTCAGCCTCCCGAGTAGCTGGGACTACAGGCATGCACCACCATGCCCGGCTGATATTTTCTCTATATATTAGTTGGCCAATGAATTTCTTTCTATATTTAGTAGAGACGGGTTCTTGCTCTTGCTCAGGCTGGTTTCGAACTCCTGACCTCGAGCAATCCACCCGCCTCAGCCTCCCGGAGTGCTAGGATTACAGGCGTGAGCCTTCGCGCCCGATCAGGATGTTTTATTTTTACTGATATCATTTCAAACATGATTTGGATAGTCTATGATTTTAGAGAACAAGGTTTCTCTGCAGGGCTAGGACCAGGGTGAAGTGAGTGAGGCATTTACTTCACGTACAAAATTTAAAGGGGCACTAAAAAATTCAGTAATCAAGATCAATTACATTTTATAGCAATATTCTCAAAAGTCAAAATTAATGCAAAACATCCATGATGAACAAAATACCCAAACTTTAAATGTCTGTATTAGTTATCTATTGCTGCATAACCAATTACCCCCAAACATAGAAGCTTAAAACATTTATTATCGCATAATTTCTGTGAGGTCAAAAATTTGGGAGTGGTTCTGTCTCAGTTCTGGGTGGTTCTGTCTCAAGGTCTCTCATAAAGTTGTATTCAAGTTGTTTACTGGGTCTACAGTCAGCTGGGGCTGGAGGTTTCACTGCTAAGATGGTTCATTCAAGTAAGTATAGGCTAGAAGCCTCAGTTCCTCTATTGACAGGAGTGCTTGGTACTAAAAAGTGCCTGAGTGTCATCATTATGGAAGAAGCAGCTGGCTTCTTCCAGAGTGGGGGGGGGGGAGGAGGAGGAGGAGGAGGAGGAGGAGGAGGAGAGAAGAGAGAGTGAAAGAGAGAAAACACCCCATTTTTTTATAACCTAATCTCTCAAGTAACATACTGTCACTTCTGAGATTGAACCCTGGGGTCTCCGTCAACTATTCTATGTCTATATCCCAGGAAAATATTAACTTTTCTCTTATCAGTCTCCCTGGTTTAATATAAAAACCTCTGTTGGCCGGGCTCGGTGGCTCACGCCTGTAATCCTAGCACTCTGGGAGGCTGAGGCGGGCAGATTGCTCGAGGTCAGGAGTTTGAAATCAGCCTGAGCAAGAGTGAGACCCCGTCTCTACTATAAATAGAAAGAAATTAATCAGCCAACTAATATATATATAAAAAATTAGCCAGGCATGGTGACACATGCCTGTAGTCTCAGCTACTGGGGAGGCTGAGGCAGCAGGATTGCTTGAGCCCAGGAGTTTGAGGTTGCTGTGAGCCAGGCTGACGCCATGGCACTCACTCTAGCCTGGGCAACAAAGCGAGACTATGTCTCAAAAAAAAAATAAAAATAAATAAAAACCTCTGTCAATGATTTTGCCAGGAATTACCATCTTGTTTTACAGATAGCAAACCCAGGCCTGTAAGCATGCTTCTACCATGAATGAGCTTCTACCTTTAATGGTTCTCTGGTACAGTTCTTAAGCCTGAGCTTTACAAATATTATTGCCCCTCTGGCTTTAACTTGAACCCAGGAATCTGATAAAAGATGTCTGTTTGGATATTTAATCAAAGGGACTTTGATTGTAGAAAAGTTAACTATTGCCATATAGTTGAGATCTAGAACAGAGAGGCATTGATAGTGGAAAAGTAACAGATGGCCAGTCTCTTAAGCTATAAAAGAAAGGAACATATAGTAGAAGAGTTAGCAGTAGTTTGTATTCAGGGTCAAAATGCAGGGACATTGATGATGGAATCACTAATAGAGGCCATGAATCCAGATCAAAAGAGTGCAATGTAGGTGCTGGTAGAGTGAAGAAAGGCCCATGTTTGAGATCAGCCCAGAGGCATCGGTGGTGGAAGAGTTAGCAGAGTCCAGGATTTGAGATGTTGACCAGAAGTCACAACAATAATAAGTTTTGGAAATGTTCATAGTGTTTGTTTTATGGCAATGTTCTCACAACTGCAATTCTGTCTTTTATTCACAAATACTGCAGGGGAGACAAAGAAAACAGGATAATCTGAGAGGCTGACCCTCTAACTCTCCAGACTATTGAGCTGAGGATTTGAATGTCCTTGGGGTACCCAGCAATTCACACCCACGCTAAGCTAGAGTCTACCTGCTGCATCTGAAACACCTCCATCAGGGAAAAGAACCCTCTTCCTCTTGTCAGAGTAGGCTTCCTGGATGGAGATGGGTATACGTGGACTAGGTTTTTTTTTTTTTGTTTTTTTTTTTTTGAGACAGAGTCTCGCTTTGTTGTCCAGGCTAGAGTGAGTGCCGTGGCGTCAGCCTAGCTCACAGCAACCTCAAACTCCTGGGCTCGAGTGATCCTTCTGCCTCAGCCTCCCGAGTAGCTGGGACTACAGGCATGCGCCACCATGCCCGGCTAATTTTTTATATATATATCAGTTGGCCAATTAATTTCTTTCTATTTTATAGTAGAGACGGGGTCTCGCTCTTGCTCAGGCTGGTTTTGAACTCCTGACCTTGAGCAATCCGCCCGCCTCGGCCTCCCAAGAGCTAGGATTACAGGCGTGAGCCACAGCGCCCGGCCGGTTTTTTTTTTTAACACATTGACTGCCACATTAGAAATTTTTTTTTTTCCCTTGGGGCCACGGTGTTTTATTATGAAAATAGAATAAAAACTTTGAAAACAAAATGATCCTTTCTAATTTAATGAACAATTTGTTATTTTTACTGTTTTCTCTGCGTGAGTTATATGCAATTAAATTGTCAATATTAATTGTAACAATAAGAATATCAACAAGTAAGATTTTCACGAACCAACTGCAGGGTTTTGCCCAGGGGCCACCCATCTCATAACATGTGTGCTACAGCATGGCTCCCGAGTTGCCTGCGCACCACATGTCTCCCAAGGTAAAGCGACATGTGAGAGTTAAATATGCTTCACCAGGCCCCGGGTTCAAAACTAGTGTGAGTTAAATACAATTCACATGGCAGTTAATGTGTTACATGTGTAGGAGTTGACAGGTAAAGAACATTCATAATTCTCTCTTTTCTCCTGTGGAGAAAAATCTAACCTGCCATTCTGCTTCTGTAAACTCCGCTGGCTCAACCCTACTCCCTCCCCTCGCTGGCGCCACTCTGTAACTTCCCAGCCGTTAGTCCTTGGAAATTATTGACCAAGATTAGAAGTTCCGGACATTAGCTCATCTGGTACATGTTTGTGCAAGGTCAAAGCCCATGGAACTTCCCCCTACCCTGTGATCCCTAGCCACCTGCGTGTGGTTTCTGCCTATAAAAATCCTAAGGAAAAAAGGGCTGGTGCGACAGCTTCACTGTACGCCCCTGCGCGCGCTGGAAAATGAATCCACCTCATGCTATTGCATCAAGTCTCTGGACTCTGAGTTTTTTTTGAGCGGTCGTCTCTCCCCCACACGGGCTGTACATTTCTGCGGCCCAACACTCCCAAGAGTCACTAGTAAACTCCTGAATTTCCATATGAGAGAGACTAAGGGGCGGCAACCCGGTTGGCAGCTGGAGTTGGAGAGGTGTCTTTGAGCATTTTCATCAGAAGTATGCTTAAAACGTTTTCTAAACATTTTCTATTGACAATTTAATGAAAAACATTGGTTGTCCATATCAAAGGCTATTATTATTATTATTCCTAGCTACTATCATAGTAGTAGGGTAATTAGGGAGATGGAGATTGAGGGGCGGGAGATTCAAGTCCCCTCCATAGCAATTGCAGCACATCCCAGAGGAAACTGTGTTAACCTGACTTCTCCCCCTCTTCCCAGTGGTATCGCCAAGAAGGGGATTGTACCTCCTTGACTCCTTCCCCCTCTAGCGCAGTAATGTCTCCCTTTAACATCAGGACACATCGTCCTCCTCTCGGGATGGGGAGGCGCACCTCTGCTTCTCTGAATTTTGCACAGACCTATAGAACCAAGTCCAAAGAGCAGCTCCTCCCGGAAGCTTGCCCTCAGAAGATTTCTACCCCTAAAAGCTCCCCTCTCCCCCACCTTCTGTGGAACAGCCCACTGTACGGAACAGGTGCTAAGATGGCGGCCCTCATGGAGACTCTCCTGAGCGCAGCCATGTTTCTCGCTTGACGGCGCCACTCATGGACAAAGTCTCTGGCGATCCGTAACAGCGCCTTGTTCAGTGTGAGTAGACTTCAACCTTTCAGCCCTAATGATCGCGTCCAAAATCACCAGCCTTAGAAGGTGCAGTGTTAGGGGTGAGGACAGGAAACGGAAGTGGTCCTCAGAGGCTGTTTAAGTGTTGTTGGCGCGCGGCGCTAAAGCGAGTGCACGAGGTTTTATGGCGTGACAGTAGCTCAGGTGATTTTGGGGTGATGGCTTTGGGGATTGATAAATTGACAGTTTGTGCTGTCAATTGGTGTTAAAGGATATAGTGAATGGGAATCTGTGGGGGTCAGGGATGAGGGCGTCTGGAGTAGTCAGGTTTTAGATTCCTTGCTGCGTCTTGTTGTCAAGTCTTAATAGTGTACGCTTCAGATTTTTCCTTGATCGGTAATCCCAGAGGTTTGCAAATTTTATTAGTTTTTCCAAAGAACCACCTTTTGACCTTGTTGATCCTCTCTGATGTGCCTTCGTTTTCTATTTCTTTGATTTCTGCTCTTACCTGTGCTATTTTCCTTTTTCTAACTTCTTAAATTGGATGTTCATTTATTAACATTTAGCCTTTCCTTGTTAAAAAAAAATTTAGGAACATCATAAGTTTTCCTTTAAGAATTTCTTTGGCTGTATTCAACAATATTTCGTATACACCATTTTATTATTATTGAGATTTGTGTTTAATTTTTCCTTTTACTTATTTATTTCTTACATTAATATAATACCTTTGGGAGGGTTGACATTTTCATTAAGTCTTCTTATCCTGGGATATGGTATGTCTGTGACTATTTTTTTTTTTGAGACAGGGTCTCACTTTGTTGCCCAGGCTAGAGTGAGTGGCGTCAGCCTAGCTCACAGCAACCTCAATCTCCTGGGCTCAAGCAATCCTGCTGCCTCAGCCTCCCGAGTAGCTGGGACTACAGGCATGAGCCACCATGTCGGGCTAATTTTTTTTTTTTTTGGTATATGTATTTTTAGTTGGTCAATTAATTTCTTTCTATTTTTGGTAGAGACGGGGTCTCCCTCAGGCTGGTTTTGAACCCCTGACCTTGAGCTATCCACCCGCCTCGGCCTCCCAGAGTGCTAGGATTACAGGCGTGAGCCACCACGCCTGGCCTGCCACGCCTGGCCTGCCTGTGACTATTTATATTTTCAATTTTTTCCTTTTTTAATTATACAGATCCAGCTCCTTAAAAAGTTTTTTCTAACATATTTTTTATATTTTTTGCTATCATTATTAATGTTTTTTTCTGTTTACATCTGCTTATTACTATTATAGAGAGAAACTATGTGCTCTTTTAATTTTATCTTATATCCAGCCCCTCTTGAAATTACCCTATGAATCTAGTAGCCTCCTAGCAGAGTCTGGTAGGTTTTCCATGTGTAAAATCATCATTGGCAAGAAAGCTACATTTTCATTTCTTCCCAATATTTACTCTAATTTCATCCTCTATTGTGTGAACTAGACCCTGCAAAACAATTTTTTTTTTTTTTTTGAGACAGAGTCTCACTTTGTTGCCCAGGCTAGAGTGAGTGCCGTGGCATCAGCCTAGCTCACAGCAACCTCAATCTCCTGGGCTCAAGCAATCCTACTGCTTCAGCCTCGCGAGTAGCTGGGACTACAGGCATGCATCACCATGCCTGGCTAATTTTTTGTATATATATTTTTAGTTGGTCAATTAATTTTTTCTATTTTTAGTAGAGACGGGATCTCGCTCAGGCTGGTTTTGAACTCCTGACCTCGAGCAATCCACCCGCCTTGGCCTCCCAGAGTGCTAGGATTACAGGCGTGAGCCACCACGCTTGGCCAATATTATTCACGTTGAGCCTTCTTCTGGAAAGAAGAGGCTAAAAGCTTCCCTGTAGAAGAATTTAAGAGGTATTTTTTACCTTAAGATGGAAAAATAAAAGATGGCAAAAGAGATGACCCATTTCCTTTCATTCAGATTATCAGGTTTCCAGGTTTTCTGCCTTCACAGTCACCCACCAGGTCCACATGGACAAGCCCCTCCTCTACGTACCCCATGGGCCTTAAGCACTATTCACTGCCCCACGTCTACCCTTCCCCTAAACCCAGATTTGCCTAGAACCTGAATTGAGGTATAGGCTGGCTGGGTGGGGTATGAATCACCCTGTAGAGCCACTCAAGAATAAAAGCTCAGCCAAGTGAGGTGGCTCACGCTTGTAATTCTAGCACTCTGGGAGGCTGAGACGGGAGGCTTGCTTGAGTTCAGGAGTTCGAGACCAGCCTGAGCAAGAGTGAGACCCTGACTGTACTATAAATAGAAAGAAATTAGCTAAACAATTAAAAATAGAAAAAATTAGCCAGGCACCAGTGGCACGTGCCTGTTGTCTGAGTTACCTGGGAGGCTGAGGCAGGAGGATCTCTTGAGCCCAGGAATGTGAGGTTGCTGTGAGCTAGGCTGATGCCACAGCACTCTAGCCAAGGCAAGAGAGTGAGACTCTTGTCTCAAAAATAAGTAAACAAATAAATAAAATCTCATTACTTTGACCCCAAATATCATGTGATCATTTCCATAATCCACCTTGACTAATACTTAGAGTGGAGGTTGCTGAAACTTTGTGGCGTGAATGTGGAATGACACTGATGATGTGGATACTGTCCTTTTAGGATTTCTTGGTGTCTCTGGAGCCATTGAGCCTTACCCCTTACTGGAGGCTACAGAATCCTCTGCATACAGATACCCCTCCAGCTTTGGAAGGTGGTCTGAGGCCCAAGGTGAACATGCCAGCTAATGGGAAATCACCCCAGAGATTCCCTGCCCTGATGCCAGGAGATCCTGGCACATCATTTGAGGTAAGGAAGAGGAGTGTATTTTTTTCTATTTGTTTTTAAAATGTTTTTTAGTTAAATTTTTAGTTTGACATAATTGTAGGTTCAAATGCAAGGTATGGTTTACCTAGTTTTCACCAATGATAACATCTTCAAAAACCTTGGTACAAAATCATAACCAGGATATTGACATACAGAACATTTCTGTTACCACAAGGATCCCTCATGTTGTCCTTTAATATGCACAACCACTTCCCTCTTTTCTCCACTCCCACCTTAACCCCAGGTAACTACTAATCTGTTCTCTAATACTATAATTTTTTTTTTTTTTTTTTGGACAGAGTCTTGCTTTGTTGTCCCAGGCTAGAGTGAGTGCCGGTGCGCGCGTCAGTTAGCTCACAGCAACCTCAAACTCCTGGGCTCAAGCATCCTGCTGCCTCAGCCTCCGAGTAGCTGGGACTACAGGCATGTGCCACCATGCCTGGCTAATTTTGTATATATCTGCATGGCCCAAATCTTAATTTCCTTGTCCCTACCTTTATAGTAGGACGGGTCTGCTCTTGCTCAGGCTGGTTTCGAACTCCTGACCTTGAGCAATCCGCCCGCCTCGGCCTCCCAGAGAGCTAGGATTACAGGCATGAGCCACCGCGCCCGGCCTCTAATACTATAATTTTGTCATTTCAAAAATGTTGTATAAATGGAATCAGAAAGACCTTTTGGGAATGGTTTTTTCATTCATCATAATTCTCTGGAGATATCAATAGTTACCAGTATATCAGTAGTTCATTCCTTTTTCTTTTGAAACAGAGTCTCGCTTTGTTGCCCAGGCTAGAGTGAGTGCCATGGCGTCAGCCTGGCTCACAGCAACCTCAAACTCCTGGGCTCAAGCGATCCTCCTGCCTCAGCCTCCCGAGTAGCTGGGACTACAGGCATGCGCCACCATGCCCGGCTAAATTTTTCTATATATATTTGTTGGCCAATGAATTTCTTTCTATTTATAGTAGAGACGCGGTCTCGGTCTCGCTCTTGCTCAGGCTGGTTTTGAACTCCTGATCTTGAGCAATCCGCCCGCCTGGGCCTCCCAAAGTGCTAGGATTACAGGGGTGAGTCACCGCGCCCGGCCTCATTCCTTTTTTTGATGAGTAGTATTCCTTGGTATGGATGCACCACAGTTTAACCATTCACTAATTGGAGGGCATACCATTTTTTTCTAGATTTTGGTTATTATAAGTAAAGATGCTATGATTTATGTAAGGTTTTTGTGCAGGTGTGATATTGTGAAATATATATTTGGTCTTCTCTGTTTCCTGGCATACAGCTCCTAAAATCCTTAGAATCTCAAAAGTACAGTCATAAATGTCTTTTTGTATGCAAATGAGTTGACTGATGGCTGGTAGCCTAGACAGCTTTAGGATGAGTCTGGTGACCTGAAAGAGGTAGGCCCGATTAGAGGGTTGAGACTTTCAGCTCATCACTCAACCTCAAGGGAAGGGATAGGGGGCTGAAGGTTAAGTTGGTCACCAATGGCCAAAGATTTAGGCAGTCATGTCTACACAAATGAAGCCTCCATAAAAAACCAAAAGTCCAGAGCTCAGAGAGCTTCCTGGTAGCTGAACAGTGGAGATTCCTGAAGGGTGTCACACCTGGAGAGGGCATGGAAGCTTTGTGCCCCTTCCCACATGCCTCGCCCTATGTATTTCTTCATCTGATTATTTGTGTTCTCTAAAAATATCCTTTATGATAAACTGGTAAACATAAGTCAGTGTTTGTTTTCTTGAGTTCTGTGAGCCACTCTAGCAAATTAATCAGACTCAGGAGGGGTTTGTGGGAACCCTGGTTCACAGCTGGTCCATCAGAAATTCCTGAGGTGTGGATCTTGCATCTAAAGTGGGGGCAGGCCAGGCATGGTGGCTCACGCCTGTAATCCTAGCACTCTGGGAGGCCGAGGCGGGCAGATCGCTCGAGATCAGGAGTCTGAAACCAGCCTGAGCGAGACCCCGTCTCTACTAAAAATAGAAAGAAATTAATTGGCCAATTAAAAATATATAGAAAAAATTAGCCGGGCATGGTGGCTCATGCCTGTAGTCCCAGCTACTCGGGAGGCTGAGGCAGTAGGATTGCTTGAGCCCGGGAGTTTGAGGTTGCTGTGAGCTAGGCTGATGCCATGGCACTCTAGCCTGGGTGCAAAGTGAAATTCTGTCTGAAAAAAAAAAAAAAATAAAGTGGGGGCAGTCTTGGGGACTGAGCCCTCAACCTGTGGGACCTGATGCTATCTCCAGGTAGATAGTGTCAGAATGGAATTGAATTAGGGGACACCAGCTGTTGTCTGCTGCAGAATTGAGTGTGGGGAAAATCCTTCACACATCTGTTGTCCCAAGTGTGTACTGAGAGTAGACACTGAGTTGTTTTTCTACTCGTACACGGTGGGATAAATGCATGTGGGTACAATTGCTCGATTGTATGCTAAGTGTGTTTAGAACAGAATTAATAGCCTTAATTTTTTTAGTACAGTTTTAGATTTACAGATAAGTGGAGAAGATACTACATATAGTTCCATATACTGTCTGCCCCTTTCCCTGTATGTCTGGCACAGTTTCCCCTACTATTAACATCTTGCATTAGTGTGGTACAATTAATGAACTAATAGTGATACATTGGTTTTTTTTTTTTTTTGAGACAGAGTCTCACTTTGTTGTCCAGGCTAGAGTGAGTGCCGTGGCGTCAGCCTAGCTCACAGCAACCTCAAACTCCTGGGCTCAAGCGATCCTCCTGCCTCAGCCTCCCGAGTAGCTGGGACTACAGGCATGTGTCACCATGCCCGGCTAATTTTTTCTATATATTTTTAGTTGGCCAATTAATTTCTTTCTATTTATAGTAGAGACGGGGGTCTCGCTCTTTCTCAGGCTGGTTTCGAACTCCTGACCTTGAGCGATCCTCCCGCCTCGGCCTTCCAGAGTGCTAGGATTACAGGGGTGAGCTACCTTGCCCAGCCGATACATTGTTAATTATAGTCTACAGTTTGCAGTAATGTCAACTCAATTGTGTTACACATTCTATGGATTTTGACAAATGGATAATGACATATATCCACCATTACAGTTTCGTACAAAACAGTTGCACCTGAACTTCAGCTGTTCCTCCTTCCTTTCCCATCATCTGAACCTGTGGCAACCACTGACTTTTTGCTGTTTTTATAGTTTTGCCTTTTCTAAAATATCATGTACTTGGAAACATGTAGTGTGTAGCCTTTTCAGACTGGCTTCTTTCACTTAGCAATTTGTGTTTAAGATTCCTCCATGTCTTTTTGTGGCTTCATAGTTTGTTTGTTTGTTTCTTTTTGTTTGTTTGTTGAGACAGAGTCTGGCTTTGTTGCCCAGGCTAGAGTGAGTGCCGTCGCCTAGCTCACAGCAACCCAAACTCCGGGCTCAAGCGATCCTCCTGCCTCAGCTCCCGAGTAGCTGGGACTACAGGCATGCACCATGCCCAGCTAATTTTTTCATATAAATTAGTTGGCCAATAATTTCTTTCTATTACAGTAGAGACTGGTCTCACTCTTGCTCAGGCTGGTTTTGAACTCCTGACCTTGAGCAATCCGCCCGTCCTTGGCCCCCAGAGTGCTAGGATTACAGGCGTGATCCACCGCGCCCAGCCTTTTACCCAATTCTTTAATGTTGAAAATGTCTCTTCTTTTGTGATATCATAAATGATTATAGCTGCAGCCGACCCTCGGTAGTACATTGGTGCTAAGGCACGAAATCGTTCTTGTCCAGCTGTATCCCAGATTAGGAATTTATGTAGCTCATTTTGGTACTGTAGTGTTGCTCATAAAAGATGCCCCTTTTGTTGGGTTGATGTTTGGATCAAAACTGTCTTCCACAAACTGCCATACAATACTTGATGTTCCTACACCTGTATCCCAAGCAGACACACTTTGAGTTCCTACGCGCCATGCCCGGGACAGGGCGCTGGCCCGCGCCGCCTAAGTTGAGAAGGGAGAGACCGGCCCAAACAGCATCCTCCGGCCGCTGTCGCACACAGCCCAGCCCCCGCCGCAGGCACAGAGACGTGGCCCCGTCCTCCTGGCCCTCAGCTTCAGCTGTCACGACAGCCACCCGGGCCGCCTCAGTAGCCCTGACGCCGCCAGGCCTCGTCGCCCTCTTGGGACGCCAGCCTGAATATAATTTCTTTCTTAAGTTTCCTGAAAATGCTGTTGTACTACTGCCTTGCTTTGTGTGTGTTTTTTTTTTTCATTTTTTTTATTTTTTAATTTTTTTTTTATTTGGCATATTATGGGGTACAAATTTTAAGGTTTCAATAAATGCCATTTCCCCCCCCCCACCAGAGTTGAGTCCTCCATCGATACCATCCCCCAGATGGTGCACATCCTCACTCATTAATATTATGTATATACCCCCCCCTCCCACCTGCCCAATACCCTATTACTGAGTACCTATGTGTCCACTTAGGTGCTACTCAGTTATACCAGTTTGCTGGAGATATATCTGGTGCTTGTTTTTCCATTCTTGGGATACTTCACTTAGTAGTATGGGTTCCAGCTCTAACCAGGAAAATATCAAGATGTGCTATATCATCATTGTTTCTTAGAGCTGAATAGTACTCCATGGTATACATATACCCATTTTATTAATCCATTCTTGGATTGATGGGCCACTGGGCTGTTTCCCACAGCCTTGCTATTATGAATTGTGCTGCTAATAACATTCGAGTGCAGCTGTCTTTTTTGTAGAGTGTCACTGGTCCATTTGGGTAGATGCCCAGCAATGGGATTCGCTGGATCAAATGGTAGATTCCTTTATCGCTTTAAGGTATCTCCATATTGCTTTCCACAGAGGTTGAACTAGTTTGCAGTCCCACCAGCATGTAGGAGTGTTCCTCTCTCTCCGCAACCACGCCAGCATTTATTGTTTGGAGATTTTTTGATAAAGCCATTCTCACTGGAGTTAAGTGATATCTCATTGTGTTTGATTGCATTTCCCTGATGTAGAGATGTTGAGCATTTCTTC